CCTGTCAAAAGATTGAACTCAACTAAATATTGAATGATTTTTGTGCTCATCTCAAGTGGAATTTCAAAGTTCAAATCTTTGAGAGCTTAAAAACTTTTTCCTAATAGCATCTTCGGTTCTCTTATTATCATCCAGGATGATCAACCCATCATCTCTATATAGACCATGATTATCTGTATAAACAATTTTGTTAATTTTGCTCAATATGAAGACACTCAGCAGTTCTGAAACCTTGGCTCCATCAAATGATTCTTATGGTACATCAAAGGCACCTTTTAATTCAATTTTTTTAACCCATGCTTCTTCAGTGAATCAAAACAGATTTTCAACAATGTAATATTATTTCAATCTGCTCCAATGGATTATCTAGAAAGCCTTTGGCATAATATCATGCTTCCAGTAATCCTTTTCTCTGAAATCAATGGATAGAAGTCTTTATATTATATCACTGATGAATACATTTTTGTCTTTATTCGTAATGCTATTAAACCAGGAGACACATTCATTTGTTTTCTGCCATTGATTAACTTGCATAGCCACTCTCAGCAAGTCACATATTTTTTGTATAATTTTCTGGCTTATAATACCCAACTCAGTTTTCATTGGATTTATTAAACTGAATCAAGGGCAGTTATAAATATTTTCTTCATGGTCCTTAGTTGTTAGGAAAACTTGTTTTTCATACAATGTTTGGACATTATCGTTAACACCAAAACCTGACTGTAATATTCTTAGCTTCCTTATTGATATTTTTAATGTAAGAATCTGGTGCTTTTCTGTAAAATTTAGTTACTTCATTGGAAATCTTTTTTTAAGTTTTCAGGCTCATTATACATGTATTTTTGTCACCCTTAACTAAAATTTGTATTGTTTTTCTGATTTCCTTTAATTCTGCAGTTAGGCTTTTTTTTGGAAAGTATTTTCCTACTTCTTAAACCTTATTCTATCTACTAATGCCAATTAATTCTTTTTCAAAACCAGCTAACTGATGGATTTCCTGGTTTGAAATTGAGATATTTCAATATTCTCCTTATTGTTTGCATACTTCCACAAAGCAAATAAAGCTCTCTATCTCATCCTGGTGAGAAAGGTTTCTGTTTTGTTTAATAAAGCCAGAATATAATTGTGCCTGTTGTGTATTGGAATATTATTCTGTGAATGCTGGATTCTTGCACAGTTGCTTGGACCAGTACTTGTATTCATGAAGATCTTAACGAAAAGGTGTGAAACTCCAATTTGTGGCTGATATCATGTTTATCAGTAGATGTAGCAATATAAAAATATATGCCATGAGAAAAGTACTCAAAAGGAGCTAAATGAATACTGAATATGTAGTGTGTGTGTGTGTGTGTGTGTGTATATATATATATATATATATATATATATATATATATATTCCCAAGAGGATAGAATCCAAGTAGAACTCAATATCCAGGACAGAGTAAGAATATATTATACTAAATGACTAATATTCCATGGTTATAATTTATTACATTATATCGTAATCACGATTCAAAAATCAGACCTACAAATTCAAAAAAGCTTTTTGAATTTGTAGGTCTGATGAATTGGATCCTGATTACAATTCCAATGTAATAAACTGTAACCATGGAATATTAGTGTTTGAGCCTTTTATATTATATAATCTCTCACACACACACACACACACACACACACACACACATATATATATATATATATATATATATATATATATATATATATATATATATAGTGCTGGTGTTAATAAAACAATGCTTGATGTAATAACAGCTATAAAGTGTATATTAATAAATATACATATTCCTCACCACTATATATATGCATACACACACACACACACACACACACACACACATATATATATATATATATATATATATATATATATATATATATAGTTGGATACTTGTATTTGAGGATACCTGTCTACTACGATGGCTAGTCAATCCCTATTGCAGATGCTCACTCGGTTACATTTGTGTTTGGTCAACACCCACAGAGCCAACCTGTGGTTTATACTGCCACTATGCTGATCAGACTTTAGTTACAGCTTCTGGGAAAGAGCATGTTATCTAGTGTGATCAACAATTTGATCAAGGCCAGCACGCTTAAGCCCTCGGCCACGATGACTTGTAGTTTTATGCTAGCACAGCTATCAACGGTTTTCAAGAGTTCTGTCTACCCAGTTTCACTCACAAAGCTTCGATCAACCTGGTTATGGTTTTCAAGCACTTTCCAAAGGTGCCGCACACTGGGATCAACCTCGATCCTGTCTGATAATATCAGGAATCTCCTTTCTGACAAATCAACCATGGTGAGATTCGAACCTGGGTCTCGGGGTCAGAAAGTGAATGTTCTAACCACACTGTCACGTACATGCATGCATACATGCAGGGTGCGATTGATAAATTGTCGTCCAAATTACACAAAGATGAAAATAACACTGACATCTCATTCTAACAGATATATTTATCAAAATTACAAAAAATACTTGAAATACTAAAGTGTAAATTTATTCAATAAAATCGCCATTGACTTAAACCATGGATTCCCGACAACTTCAGAATCTCCAGCATCTCTTCTGGACAGTCTCCTTGTTTTAAGTTGGTGAATGCTGCCATAATCCTTGCCTTCATTTCATGTTTGGTGTTGCAAGGAGTTTCGTTTTGCTCAACTGCACCCCACATATAATAATCAAAGGGGTGGCAGTCTAGGGAGTTAGGTGGCCAGATGTAAGGAGTGACGTGGTTGCAGAAATTGTCTGACAACCATGACTGAATACTCCTGCTTGTGTGACATGTTGCATGGTCCTGTTGCTAGCAGTCACCCTCTTGACCCAGAGCAGTATTAAAAGTAAAAGAAATAAAACTAATATTGGTTGAGAATCCTTCGGTTCCTATTGCTGTTGTAGTTGTTGAACCAAAGTATTTGTAATGTTACCATGATTGTTTATCAAGACTAAAATGATATTAGTAGGGCATGTGCACTAGTTGGCCACCCCCATACCATTCTCAGTTAAATGAGATGAAAGGAAAAAGAAGGCAATGTAAATTGCTACTAAAATATATTTTTGTTTTAGAAAATGTTCGCACAGGTGTCAAAATGTGTAAACAACATTGGATGATTTCAGTGCATGTTGCTTGTTTAAGAAAAACATCCCCAAGACCATAATAACATTCTTCTATTTAGTTTACAGACACAAAATTGTTTTATTAGCAAAATGGCTTCTTGAATTCAAGCCAGCTGTATAACAAAATTGGTTTTTGGAAACAATCTAAGGTTCTCTAGAAAATAGAAATAACAGCTAAGCCAACATATTTTAGCAGAGGTTAAAGTCTCTGTTGTAAGAGTGTGTTGCAGTGAAGCTTGGGACCCTCTTCTGCTTTCAGAATTGAGAATCTTCTCTGAGACAAACACAAAGAAATTTGCTGATTGTTTAGTAAAAGTTATAAGTAAAGAACTGTCCTGGTTATGATGATAAACTATATCTAACAGCAAGGCTTCTGATCAGGAGGCTTTGAGGAGCGTGGAACCACCTCAATTGCTGGTGTTCCCAGGTCCACCCTGACCTGGAGAAGTAGCACCTGTTAGGGTCCCAGCTATGGATAAATAGTTAACCCCAAAACTGGGGTCAAAATATTATGAAAGTGTAAAAATAGGTTTTAATACTAGAAATATTTTGTAAAAAAAATACTATTACCAGCAATATATTTTTGAAGGAAAAACTTATTACCAGCAATACATTTTTAGAAAAAATATTATCAGAAATAGATTTTTAAAGGAAAAATATTTTTGAAGGAAAAAAATATTACCAGACATACATTTTTGGAAAAAAATATTATTAGCAATAAGAATTTTGTAAACATTAAATAAACCACTGAGGTTGATATGCCAAAAGTGGTTTAAATATTTTAGGAATTGTTTATTTGATGGAAACATCATGGTACAATGTTAAGTGTTAATTTTGTAATGAGTTGGTCGGTCAACTTGAAACCCCCAAAGCGAGTGGAGGTGGGCAGGCACGGGAACTGTGATTGGTAGCTGGCTTGTTGGTGCTTTGCATAGGTGAGTTACCAAGCTCTATGTAAAGGGCTGGAATAAGAAGGAGGGCAGTTTTTCAGTCTCAGAAGTGGAGACTGCATCCGTCGCTATGACGGCAGGAGAGGAAAGAGACGAAATCATTTTTTTTTTGTGACACATTCCAACACAAATTTTACATCCAGGGAGAAAGATTAAATGAACTGTATAGAGGAATTAAAGATTAATGCTGCTATACGATATTTATTCATTTAATCCAAGAACATTTGAATTTTTTCCATTTGTGTTACAGAAATCTCATTTGTTTTTAATGTTAAAAGAACAAAATAAAAAAGATAATTCTGTTATTAAAGAAACCAAATATTTCAGTAATGGAAACTTAAATTTGTTAGATTTTTGAAAAAAAAAAAAAAAAAAAATTTCCAGTAATACTTTTTTGAAAAAAAAAAGTTACCAGCAATACATTTTTGAAAAAGAAAAATATTATCAGCAATACATATTTGAAAAAATATTACCAGCAATAAAAATCTTGTTGGCATTAAATAAGCCATTGAGGTTGATAACCTGTAAAAGAAACCAAACCAAATATATACTGGTTACTAATTAAGGTTAGAGAAGCTTAATTACACATCAATCTGTAAATAATGGTCCCCGATGAGTATTGCAAAGTTAAACCCCCAAATCTATTGTCACATTATATGCCAATCTGCACTTGCAAGTGTTTTGATTAATTTTTTATCTCTCTTTACAGGAACTTGGTGGTAATTTGGCAGAACCAAAAGACCGAGAATTGTTCTTCCAGAAATTAGTTATTGAATCAGAGAATTACTATAATTTGAAAAAACGTGTCTGGGTCTATACTCCTCAGAGTCCAGGATTGTGTTCCGTTTTTCTTGGTGACTTTGTCAGTACGGAAAATGACTGTACACATCTACTTTATCCTTTCATATGTGAAAAAGGTAAGTAATTTTGCCATTTGAAACACAATTCTTGGTCAATGTTAGTACAAGAAGCCAGAGCCACTCAAGGTAGAGGGTTACTGAATGAGTTTGTTGTGTTGATGTTATGGAGTAAATAAGGCACTCCTTAAATAAACAATTCCAAGTGAGTCAGGGGAAGAATTCCAATGATGTCATGGTGAAATAGCCTAAGCAAGACGTAATATTATAGCTGATTGGAGTGAGTTATAATAGTGGTGACGAGAAATTGAAACTAATTACAAAGTTGGAAAAGTACTGATTTTTTACTTTGGTGTGAAAGAAAAAAAATGAAGGATAAACAAAAAACAGATTCTTTAAATATGGAGGAATTATTAACCCAAGTGGTAAAAATACAGCAACAGTTGTTGGAACTTCAGTGAAAACAACAAAATTTAATTGAAATAATATGGAAGAAAACAGAAAATTCTTGAAGTTCTTTCACTCCCAAAGTGGTGGCAAATACCATAACTGAATTCACATACAATTCAGATGATGGAATTACCTTTTCTGCTTATTTTAGAAGATACAAGCAAATTTTCAGGGAAGAATGCAGCGACTGGGAAGACAAGATAAAAACAAGATTTTTGTTGAGAATGTTAGCACTGGTAGAACATGAAAAATACTGTAATTTTGTACTACCAAAAGAAAAAAAAAAACAGGAGAAATTTACTTTGAAGAAACATTAAATATTCCGACTAAAATTTTTAGTGAGAAAAGTTTGTTATTCAATACTCGTTGGAAGTGCATGAAGCTGACAAAAAAAAAAGATGAAGATTTTGTCATATATGCCGGAATCATTAACAAGGAGTATCAAAGATTCAAATTAAATGAACTCTGTTCCACAAAGTAGTTGTTCTCAGGAAGAAGCTATCCATGTGGAACTTTCTTAACAAAAGTATATGAGAGGAATGAGGATGACTTGACCTTATGGATGTGACATGGTGGGTATTAGATGTAGAAGTCTGAACTAGTGGAATTGTTGCTCATTGGAACATTTGCCATGGAAATAGCGATAGTTACAAGAGGCTTGCAAAATTTCATCTGTAGGGTGATTGGTGGCTGAGATAGTTGTCTGTTCTGTTGATAATGATTAAGTCAGGATTTTGAATGCAGATTTTTTTAGGTGGGTTGTCTTTCCAACTTGGATGATTGTTTTAATCCAATCTTTGTATTTTGATTCCTTCATATTTGGCTTTGCATCAGGGAAAGTGAATGTTGTATGTATTTTAAAGCTTGCCCAGTATTACGATGATCCGCTTAGGTAGGTAGGTTTGTCTGGCTCACTAAGTTTGACTAGGTCTGCAGTCGCAACACTAAGGTTGAATTTTTTTGAAAATTTAAGAGAGTGCTTTTTTTACTAATATGGTAATTTGCATGCTCCAAAAGTTTGTATCTGTTAACAATAACACATTTTAAAAAAAACATATTTCGATTTGCATTTAATTTTTTCATCTCTGATGCTACCTGGATTTTACTAAAAGCAAAATAATTTCCATGCCTGAGGATGACTGTACTTGCTGTAGTTGAAAGTACTTGCAGATTAAAAAAAGACGTTATACAGCTTGTAGTTATTAAAAACAAGGATCATAACATTCTTTGAGTGATTCGTAGGTTAATGCTACTTTAAAAGTTTTGTTTGCCAAGAGATTTCGCCATTTTATATCATTAACTTTACTAATCTACTTTTTATATGAATGATTTATTATAATATAAATTGAACTGCACCACATATTTGATTGTGTGTGTGGGGTAAAGAGTTTGTTATCCATGACTTGTAAAGTGTGAGTGCGTTTAAAGATCATACAAAGGAAGTGACCTGGACTAGTTACTAGACTCTTTGTCCTAAAAATCTTTCTAACAAAGTTGAGACACTTAGGATATGAACTATTAGACACTCTCTCTTCCTGATTAGTCCTTGCACAACTGAATATCATCTTTACAAAAATTTAATTTCTTCAGAGGAAAATTCAATAAAGGGCAATTAATTTGAAGAATTTCTGGCCATTGAACATCATGAGATTTTATAAAGTGGAAATTTTTTTCTTTAAAAATGCTTTGAGAGAAAGTGAAAGAATCAAATTGAAAAAAGTTGGCATTTTTAAAACTGGAACAAGGGAAATTAGAGACATTAAACCAAAAGTCAATTCAACACCAAAAAAAAAAAAAAAAAAAGTGAGTTTTTCTCTTATTTTTTATGGTTATTGTGTTTTTGTATTTAAGTTCCAATATAAAAACACATTAAGCAAAAAAGATGAAGATTCCCATTTTTTTTCTTTTCTTGAATTGAGTTTTGCTATTAATCATGTTATCCCCCCTTTTTCTACATTTAATTAAAAGAAAATGTCATTATTTAAAAAAAACCAAAAGATTTTAGTTTTTTTTTTTTTTGTTTTTGTAATCAGCCATTTTATGACAGAATATGGTTTAGTTTTTCTTAAAATAAAATTCCAATTTATTGTCGTTCTTTTTCCTTTTGTTTTCTTCTGTGTAAAATGTAGAGGATTCTAGAAGCTCTGCAATTATTTTACGCTCATTGTTCAACTGAATTTTATTTTGATTGGATGAGACAAATAAAAAAAAAAGTTAACCTCCTTGACCAGACTCTCACTTTGCTTTGACTTGAACCATTGTTTTTTTTAAGTTAACATGTAAGAATCATCATGGCCAGTGCATACTACACTCAAAGCCCACAACTTGAGAACCTCATTGAGGGTCCCAGCTGTACTTTGTAACCCCTGCTATCTTATCAAATTTTGCTTTATTTTTTACCTATATTTATATACGCTACTAATCAAACTAAACATAACTGTTAAAAGATGAAAAGGTTTTGCAAATTTTGATGGCATTCTGGGGTCTTTCTTTTTCTGTTTTTTTTTTTTTTTTTTTTTTCAAATACATGAATTTGTTTTACAATACTGAGTCTAGAAAAAATACTATAAAAAATTCACTATTTTTTATCCATAATGTTGAATGTGTTAAATTCAACTTTTTAACAAGAAGAATCTCAAGATGATGTTAAAAATTGCCACAAAACATTGTTGATTTAAGATGGAATGATCTATTATGACATGTTTCTAATTTGTATTTAGATACATTGTATTTATTTTTAATTTCTCTAGTTGAATTGTTCACCTATATTGCATATGATCCATTATTGTACATAATTAGGTGAAAATAAAATTTGTATTTTATATAAACACTACCTTTATGAAAATTGAGATATAGTAGAGTTGGGATGGCCTTGTATCATAGATTTGGGGGTGAGGGGCATGAGAGTCTTAACCAGCCTGGGAATGATGGCAAAGACTTGAAGGAAAAAGACATGGAAAAATGAATCTGTATCATTGTCCTTTTCAAAACAAGCAGATATTTTACTCTAAGAAACTACGAGATTAAGCCACATGTAGGATTGAACTCAACAGTAATGGGAAACCAGATAAACTACATCTGCATCCTGGGTAAGATGATAAACTGTATCCAACAGCAAGGCCTCTGATTAGGAGGTTTTGAGTAGTGTGGAACCACCTCTTAATTGCTGGTGTTCCCAGGTCCATCCTGACCTGGGGTGGTAGCAGCTGTTAGGTCCCAGCTATGGGCAATAGTTACCCACCAAACTGGGGTCAATGCACTATGCAAGTGTAAAAATAGGTTTTAATACCACTAATACATTTTGCAAATTTTGATGTCATTCTGGGGTCCTTTTTCAACTTGCATTTTTGGAAAAAATATTACCAGCAATAAAATTCTTGTCAGTATTAAATAACCCATTGAGTTTGATATGCGGCAAACCAAACCAAACCAACTGACCATCCCTGTCTTTCTGATTTTTCTATGCACATTTTCCAGATTATTGTCTGAAACGAAACACACAAAATATTTAATTTATAATGTTCTATCAATTCAAAACTTTACAGGTAAAGGCCCATTATACCACATACACATGGTCAAAAAGTTCCACTCAGACAGCTCCTTTCTCAAGAACTGCTATATTGTAGAACAGACACCCAATATACCTCAAAATAATCTTAACCTTTTCAAGTCTAGATATGACTGTTACCTATCGTATATATCCTAATTATCTGTACTTACTTCCTCCTTCTTAATACAACAACATCATTCAGTATTCCTCTACATCGAGTGGCTCTTGAGTATTGTATTGGGTGAAAATTTAGTAATAAAAAGAAATACAAATGCAAAGCAAGACAGCACTACTGTGTTTTATTTTTCTATTTTCTATCAAAAATTACTGTCACTTTATATGTCATCACGACAGTGAATGAAAGTTTTGATTAATAAATTCTGCTTGTGATATCGCAGGGTTATATAAATAATTCATCACCATATAATTTAATTGCTGCTTTTTTAATAATTTTCCAAATGAACATTTACCTTTGTTGAGGTGTAGCTTTTAACAGTTATCTCCCTTCCAAGAATGAATTCACTGGAGCCATTTTGTTTATTTTGCTTTCATTATTTTATTGATTTAAAGCATATTTTTTTTCTTTAAAGTATAAAAAGCATATGTGTAGATTTCAATTTCTTCCTTTTTTTTTTTTGGTTAATTAAAAATTATTGAAGTAATTGTAAAGGAATAAATAAAATTCTTTTGAGCAAGGGAATTGAGAAAGAAATGACCGTCATAGGGGATATGTTCCATCATCACCAGCAGATACTTGTAAACTATGGATATTATTGAATTTTTTTCTCATATATATATATATATATATATATATATATATATATATATATATATATAAATTCTATATATACAGGGTGTATCAAAAATACTTTTACAAATTTTGGGGACAGGTTCCTCACACCAAAACAAGGACAAAAGTCCATATAAAAATATATCTGTAAATCCTTCATTTTTGAGTTATTAAGTTTAAAGTTTACAGTAGGGTGGACACTGTTAAATGTACAATCTAAGATACAATCCAAAAATACTTTTACAAACTTTGGGGGCAGGTTCTTCACAC